GCACGTCCGCTGCTATAGCCAGACATAACAACAACAAAAACGTCAAGGGACTTCTTTTGGAACTACTTCGTTTTTCCTCTGACTTCTAGTTTTGGTGACGTGTAACGTTCATAAAATATTTTATTTATAGCATTATTATTTATAGCATTATTTATTATTTATTACATTAAATAAATTATGGTTTGAACGAATTATATGGATATGTATATACCATACATATGTTGTGGAAATGTTTCGGTCATTCACCAAATAACCGATGCTTACGGATATTGTCTTTTATAAATTACAAAATAAATAAAAAAGAATATAAAATGTCGCGAAAAAAAATTTCAGGTTTTAAATATTATTTTAATTTATCTTAATAATAATTTTTTTTAATTAATAAAAAATTTTGAATATCAAATCAAAAAACACCATTTTTAAATTTGCATTATAAAATGTTTCATAATAGAGGTTTAAATTATTTGTTGGTTATATTGATTAGTTTGGGATTGTGCTTAGCTGCACCATCCCCAACAGATCCATATGGAGAAACAGTTTGGCATACAGGCGAAAAAGTAAGTAATCTCCAAATTCGTCGAAACCCTTACATGCGCGCGCACTATTACAAATAAATCATACTTATTTTATTTTTCTCTCTCGCAATCTAAAAGGTAAAGATTTTGTGGGACGAGGCAGGGCAACCAAAGACTAGTAAAATGTCAGGAATCCACATTCAATTGATGACAGGACCCGATCTTAATCAAATTCCGTTGGCCGTTGTAGCACCAAAATTGCCAACCACAGCCAAAGAATTTGAATGGACAGTGCCATCATTAAAACAATATGGATATCCATCAGGAAAAATTTATTTCTTTATGTTCTCTGATCCAAAAACTCCTGCAAATGGTCTCGCTTGGACAACCAGATTTACGATCATTGAAGGCACTGAAACGCCTGTACAATATGATCCAAAAACCACTTTCACCTTCACAAGTATTTATATATATATATGTTTTTTTTTTTTTTCAATTCACAAAATATATATTTAATTAATTAATGCAATTGGTTGGTTAATTGACAGAATCACCAACTGCACCAACACCTGAACCGGCTGCTACTACAGCACCAGTTACTACAACACCGGCATCTCCTGCATACCCAATGTCAAGTTGTTAGCCTTTTCTAAAATATTATTAATTTTTATATCCACATGAACAGCTTCATCTGATAATAATTTAGTACTAAGACAATCTCATGAAGGAGGTTTATAATTTGATCTGAGATTTTTTAACATGTTGATGAAAAAAGGGGTTTCAATTATTCTAAAGGGGATACCACAAACCACAAAAGCCTTTAAAATTGAACAATCTATAATTCCTGTACATTCTTTTGATAATATCTCATCTTTATCTCAAAAATTAGCAAATGATTGTGTATTTGCTTTATATGCTGTATTTTCACTTAACCATCTCTTTCTGCAACAATATACATATATCTTTTTTTGATCTCTTCTTTAATGTATTCACATTCATGTGCCAAATGGACTTGCAGTTTATTAACAACTCCATTACTCCATTAATAATTACATGCTTTGCATTTGGCTCCAATATGTCCTGGATGTTTTGAAGGATAACATTCAAAATGTTGCCAAACTGCATTTTTTGGTTGCCCACCAAGTTTTTTTTGAATCTGATGAACTATTTATATCAACATCAGTATTGTTTGACATTATTGTGATTAAAAAAATTTATATATACAAGTCACTCCTGTTATAATGACACTCCATGTGCAAGCAAAAAATGTCAGTATAACGAGATTGTCATTATCCCTTAAACCGTAGCACAAATTTCATGTAAATGTGGTAAATTGAAAATTAAGGGTAGGGGGAATCACGTGTCAATTTATATGTAGATCGGCGGCTCAAAAATTTGAATTATAGAAGTTGCATA